CCGATTTAAGTTTTCCATGCAGGTTGTTTCACTGAAAAGATAAAGCAACCCACTGCACAGGTAATATTATTATGCTGACATTTAAATTCAATAAGAAATCCACAAAAAGCATTATAATTTTTGGTATTCGTGATGTCCCATCAAGGGAACCAAAACAGCAAAACCAAAATACTAACAGGCTTCCATTTAAATTGTGGTACTTTTATGGATAATTTATTCTAAATGTGGATGTCTCCAAAAGCAAAATTTTACAAGACAAAACAAAACTGCAGATTAGGCCAATTGGGATACCTGTGTCAGAAACTAACCTTTATCAATAAGTGAAACATTTATTTCTGCTTTCTCTCAAAGTCCGTTGACAGGATGCACAACCTACATCCCGACTGAACCAACTGAGCAAACAAACACAAATGTGCACACACACACACACACACACACACACACCCACGCACACACACACACACACACACACCCACACACACACACACACACATACGGGATGTACACTTTAATCTCAGCTGAAGGGGAAAAGAAGGGAATGCTGGAAACGGACGTTCTCTCCCGTCTCCTAATTTTCTCAGAGGAGGTTCACAAATAATTTCACATAATTTCCGTCTATTTTATTTGAACTCCTTCCCTTTGGGAAATCTAAAAAAAAAAAAAAAAGAACGCTCTGATCCACCAAAAGCCACAACAAAGCCTTCACCTTTGCACTTAACTCGATACTTTTAAGCCATATTTTGGCAGATCTGCGGTCCGTGACCTTGTGTCTTGTTTTTCAGTGAAGAAATAATTGATATGGGAAGAAAAAAGGAAGAAGAGCTTCCCAACTCTCCCGCCAGTGGACTTCGGGTTTTTCACACAGAATTGCAGAGTACAGTTTTACATACAGCCACAGCAACACAGACACACACTGAGCTCAGTAAGGACCGGCAATGAGCTCATTGGATCTGAATGTCTTCCTGTGATGAAGGCTTTTTTGCTGCTTTCACACAATATTCCCTTTTTTCCTCTGCTTTGTTTTATAAAGAGGAAAAAAAAACATCACAGATACAATTTTCCCGCCCTGTCATTCTTTTATCTGTTCTGCCTAAAAAAGGCTTAGTTTCGTAATACTTCTCCTAAATCAGCTTAGCTGTTGTGTAATTTTCTTGCCCCTGAAAAAGCAGGTTCTCGAGTTGCCAGGCTAGCGATTTAACTTGCAGTTTTATGTGCCAGTGTGTGTGAGAGAGGGTGTGTGGGTAAACAGCAGACTTGACACGTGGCCAATGGTCCAAATCAAACTCAATTAAGATTTATGGTGGGCGAGGTGCTCCATGTAAAGAATTCAGACAGTTTAAGTGCGTGTGCACATGGTGGTAATTTTCCTGTGGCAAGTTTTGGTTTTCTGTTTCACTTAAACAAGTGAAATTACAATAAAATTATAGTTACGAGGAAAGAGTAGATGCTTTTTATAGCATATTGGGGCTGGTTTTATCCCACTTGAGTCCTGATAGGCTCACTGTACTGTTAAGAGCAGATGCTGCACCATAAACACACTGAAAATGGCTTTCAGACGTCTTAACAACCACACGTGTGCCTGACATCAGAGAAGCATGGGGCGCTCTCTGTCATAATTGGAGTGTTTGTAGATATATAATTGCAAACACACACATACACACACACAACGCAGCTGGAATGCTACTTTGAATTATTTTGGATTCACGTCAACACGTTTACTGTAAAGCCTTCATTGGAGAGTAACATATATTTATGCGTTTGTAAGAACTAACATTTATTAACACATGGGCTACCGTCGGTGTTACCTGAAACGATTGTTTATTGCCCTCTGAAGGAACAACAACAAAAAAAAGCTCTTTCTCCAACTGTATGTCTGCTTGATCACATGCAATTCCTGGAGATGTTTCATTGTGTCATCCCTCCAAAAGGTAAAGGAATGTGGGAAGAGGTGGTCTTGCAAATCGCAGCTTTTGTTATTTAGAAGGTGTTCACCACATTGTCTGAAGGTCTGGAGCACAACCATTCGTCAACGTTTAGCAGATAGCTTGCTAAATTTCAACAAATTACACAAAATTAGCAGCGTAATTTAGTTCTGTAGTAGTTTTTCCAACCCAACATGTCTGACTGAAGTCCACCTGGCAGAGTGACCACTGTCTCCTGAAGAGGCCACTTTGCTTCTCGGCAGTTGTACACATTGGACCCGTTCAGACAAGTCAGAGCCTTTAGAAGCATGGCCTCTTGCTCATTTCCTCATTTGCAAAAACAAAACCATGAAGAATCATTAACAAAAACAGAGAGATGTGCTGCAATAAAGCAGCGTGAACCACAGGTTTTGCACACGACATGAGATCTGTAATGGATTAATGATGATGCAAAAACAAGCATGTGTAACGTCATCAATCTAAGGAGGAAATGCCATATGCCAGAATACATGCAATTGGGGGAAACAGATACAAACCAACTGCTCAGTCAGGTTTATTTTCTGTTTATCTGATGCTTTTTGCAACCCAATCACCCAGAATAAAGAGCATCTGGATCTGGAAAGAGGTCATAAACATTCATTTTATCTATAATGATCTTTTGCAGTCTATTTTCTAAATGACCCTTCATAGTCATTTATTCCCAGAAGGGTCCCTTGCCATGTTGAACGGCAAACAGTCATGGATGCAAACTTGCGATGACCTATATTCACCTGTCAGCATGTGAGTAAACAGTAGGTTTTCCCTCAGTTGACTGAGCAAGCTTGGTAACCAAACTGGTTCCTTCAGATTATCCATTAAAACCAATGAACACCTTCCTAAACCAACATGTTTCAGGACTCACCATTTTTACCATGAAGCAGGAGTTTATCGCTTAATTAATGGAGCCGAATGGTCTTTGATATGCAAGATTTTACAAAAAGCCTCTAATTAGCCTGAATACTAACTTAGAGTAGAGAAAGTGATTCTTGGAAGTCTCTTCCAGGCTCATTGCTCATAAACAGCTTAGGTTAAATTGTCTCAAGGTGCGTTAATCTGAACATTAACTAAATATAGATTTTATTTTAACCTACGTACCTTCTGCTATTTTACTCTTTCCTGCTATGTCATCTAAGCTGAGGCCATAAAATTAAGGATTTCGCAGTTTTGAAAAGACTTTCGATAAGTAAACAAGTCCTCAAATAATCTATTCCTGCTTGCAGTAAAACAAAAATATGCCTGGGAAACAAAACCCAACAAAACAAACAGATTTGTTGCAGTAATAATACTTTTACGATGTTTTGTGAAGAATATTCAAATCATTGTATGGCAATAAATATCTTCATTAAATATGACAATTAATGGTCATAAAAAAATCCTCACTTCTCTTCTACTTGAAACATGAATCTTATAATTGTTTCCTGATCCCTGTTTGGACGACTTGACTCTGTCAGAATAAGGAACATGAGAGATGACCCCCTACTGGTAGACATGATTTATTAAGAAATAAAACCTAACTTCTTTACAACAAGCTTAAAGTAAAATATACAATGGAACAAGGAGACAGGCCGGTCTTGGTGTATTGTAGAAGTATAGGCCAGATTGTGCAGATCTAGGTTTGTTGTGTTGCAGGGGCTTTTCCCCCGTTCAAAACCACGGGACACGAGCTGCTGTCAGCACAGCAGCTCGTGTCCCGTGTCCCTCCCAAGGTGACTTCTCTGTTGTTGGCAGGCAGAGCCACGAAAACGACTCAGTGGAGCCTCTCACTGCGTCTCCCACACAGACATCCATCATCATCATTATCATTTAGATGCCACTCGGTAATCTGCCGTTACACCTTCCTGTTTTCGTTTATTTCTTCTTCACCTGATTAGATTCACTGTTTTTCGAGACCGGCAGTTAAAACAAAAGCGAGGCAGCATTTATTAAAATTCCCTCCAGCGCCTATTGGCCTCGACTACCGTGAGATTTAATGTGTGGCTGCGTGCCAAACATGAACACCTGACCTTTTCCTCGTCCAGATCTCAGAGTGGAGATTGCTCACCTACACAGCAGAACACAGACCACCTCCCACACAATCTCTCGCGCAGCAAGCAGCTGTCTGTATATCGGAGTCAGAGACTGCAGCTCCAAACGCGAGCGTCGTCATTCTTTATTAACAAAACTTTGGGGGCAGAAACTGCAGGTGTCCTGTCACCACCAGTGCATTAAATAGGCCGTTGTCCCATGTCGACAGTGGGTCATCTATTTTGGTCCAGGTTAAGTCTCTACACGGGAGTAGGTGTGCCAGTTTCCTCTCTGTGTGCGTCTTCCTCTCACCCTCCCGGGTAATTGATTAAGAGGATTCATCTGGGTTGCTGCATGTTAAGCACAGACTGCAACCAAAAACACACACACACTGACAGGCTACTAATATCCACAAACACAGCCGAGCACATTGGTAAGTTCCCCTTGAGTGGACGCATCACTATTTACACACAATCCCAGAGGATGCATCATAAAACCAATCGTATTGATACATACCTAATTCTAATTCCCACTTTAAAGTTGAGCAAATATCAGAGCCACCAGCTGAAATGTTGCGACTCTCCTCGTGGGGAGCCCATCATTTAGATTTATTCTCCATAAAGTTTGATCTGTTTGTCATATTTATATGCAACTACACGCTAAAGGGACACACTTTATTCCTGCCGCTGTTGGCAAACAAGTCATCTGACTGTCAGTTGATATTTTTTATTTTATTATTTTTTTTCCCCCTCAAGAAAGAGCGGTAGATCCAGATCATACCAGCAGTCCTAGCCAAGAATGACATTTTAACACATTAAAAACAACAAATATTCCAGCAGGCTGATCCCACCGGGTATTGCTGAGGCAGCCAACATCAACCTTGGGTCAACTTGAACACTACTTAAAAGCTCTTCTTCTGTCATCCACAAAAAAAAAAAAGAAAAAAGAAAAGCACAACCCTGACTGACCAACAACATCTGGCATGCGTTTCAAGACAGAGTCAAAGTAACATCTGGAACTGAAATCCTCCCCTACCTTTGTGACAGTCATGCAGAACCAGTGGATGAGGAGCAGGCAGGCCAACGTCCCCCTTCGAGCAGAGAAGAGCGCCGCAGGAGTGGCACAGTGATGAGGAGGAGAGGAGGGCAGCTCTGCTGAATGCGCAGAGGGGAGAGCGGGGAGAGGAGGGGACAGTCAGGTTGGCGCGTTTGGCTCGCTCGGTGCGAAGGGGCCGACTCCTGCTGCAGTGAAGTAATAGCTGGCAGGCGGCGTGCGGCTGGTTACTACAACAAGGGTGGAAAAGCTCCTGGCTGGGATACACACAACCCCTCCTTCCCCTCACTAGCTGCTCGCTCGCAAACCCAACCCACGCAGAGACGATGCGCGCAAAGCCACTCGCAGCTCTTCCCGCTCTCCGACGGGCTGATACGGCTTATCAATGAGCAGTGGGGAAGGGGCCGCAGGAGGAGCTGCCTGCCCGGGACGGGGGGCCAGACTGCAGAGGCAGAGGAGGAGGGAGGGAGGGAGTCGGACGCTGTGTCGCAGTCTGCTGCTCCGGCACGTCCAATGACTGTGAACAAGAAGAGGACGTAAAAAAAAGCAAAAAAGAAAAAGAAGCACCTTTAATCTTTATTGAGTCGGGCAGTAGCACAGGGACACATATAGAAGTTGATTTTAAATGAACATTGATGTTCATGGAGGGGTGTCTAAATGAAAGTTAGCTCACCTGTCAAATGGAAATTGGTGGACTTGTTTTGGAAATCAAGACCTTGATCAAACTGGAGGATCCAGGTCGTCGTTCTTAGAAGTGATGATTTATCCATTTTCGCCTGCAGTTACCACATAAAGATCTTGTACCAGTAAAGAAAAGGTCCTGGACACACTCTCTCTTGCACATGCCTCCTGAAAGTGTGATTTTGGAGGATTTTCAAAGCAAGGTGGTTCCATGCACATCCAGGATCAAGAGTCAGAACCTCTAGCAGGGTCTTCAACACCAGTCCATGAAACATACTATCCTGCAACTTTTAAATGGATCCCTGCTCCAAAGCAGCTGCATCAAATGCCTCAATTACTTCAACATGTCAACAAGTTCTGCAGGAACCAGACATTGAGTTATTTTATTTGTGTCTATCGTTTGCATTGCAATAGATCTCAAAGACTGGATTTGGAGAGCTGTGTGATTAAAACTTCAACAACCTTTAGGCAATGGCAGCTTCAAACTAGAAACTAGAAGGAGCTGTTTCTACTATTAGTGTTTTTACTATTTTGTTAAGACAGAATTGAAGTTTTACACTTGAAGTTTAGGTTAGTTCTGTGCCACTTTTGGACAATATCTGGATTTTCCCCAATAGGAAATGAGTGTAGTAACAAAAAAAGCAAACACCTACTCTTGCAGAGTAACACATCTTTATCATACTGTCTGAAAAAAAGAGGGCACTAGAGACAAGGCGAGATTCCTACACCGTTTCCATGGCTCATCCTCCCACACTTCTTTATTGTGCCTGCAGCCCACAATACAGGCTTTGTTGTTGTGGATCTATAAAAGTTGTAACGAGTTTGTGTGCAAATGTCTAAACGCTTGAACACCAAACTCAGCAGTGTTATGAGATATCTGTTCATTCTGGTTAGCACCTAATGGGATTACCCCCCTTCCTTCTGTTCGACTGTGTACACTTAAATTTTCATTTGGTGGCGTCTTTCCTCAACCTCATTGTCATTTGACGCCCCAGTCACAGCGTTTCCTCTCTTGAACAATAGAATTTCCTGTGTCTGTGTGCAATTTCTGGATGGAGGTGGACTGTCTTTAAATTGCAGGAGACAGTACAGAGAAAATAGACATTATCTAGGTCATAAATGTCATGAATGCTCAGTATTATTTTAAGCGAAGGTAAAGAATTTACAAAGAGATGGGGCTCTTCATTATTACTCCACTCATTGGTTATATCCTTTTCGTTTCAAAGACAACACTAATACTTAATTAAAGTCATTTAGAAGAAACATTCACAAGGCAGTAACTTGTTTTAAACTCACTAATTGTGCCATTGGGGTGAATTAACTGTGACGGATTTCTACGGATCCTGAAAAAAATACCACAATTCCAGGTCACTCTATGCCAGAAGGTGCGGAAGGAAAACACGTAATCTGCTTGGAGCTGGTGGAAAAGTTGATGACCTGCACGACTGTAGAAACCACCATGTCTCAGTTATTACCACCACATGTGCTCAAAGAAATCAGAAAAGAACATCTGCATTCAAACTGAGAGCAATATTAAACAATAGAGCTCTAGCATGACTTTCATTTTCAAGCAATTTATATCCTGTCTGTTTCAAATTTAGATTTTCATTTCCTTGCTGACTGTTTTGACCATCTGGCATCTGTGAATCAAGTACAGGCCATATGTAACAGGTTGCCGCCATCTAGTGATCTTATCGTGTAATTGCCTGCACAACTGGATTTATTTTCATAAGAGTGAGAAAGAAAAAGGCACATTTACCTAAAAAAGTTAAATAAAACCATATGTGCACACGTGCTCTTTCCTATGTTTCACATCAAGCAGAAGCAGACATAATATGGTCAAATATTGCAAACAAAAATACTCTTACTCCAAGTTAAACTTGTACATTTTTCAATTTAAAGTGTCCTAAGATTCTCTTTTTTTTTTTGCTCATCAGCATCAGCAAGTTAATAAACAAATGGATACATGTAAGAAACTGCATCCAAAAGAAATGGGCAGAATATGGCAATGACTCCATTAGTGGTGCTTCTCCACCAGTGACTTGTCTTCTCTGGTAACTTCCAGATTAATTCCAGCTCTGCAATATTCAAGTTGAAACTTTCTACCTTTCAAGGATCTCTGAAATTTTAATCCATTTACTTCTGTGTTTCTGCACCAGTCCTGCATCTCTGGAGCAGTTTTAGTAAGCTACCCGCAGCCCTTCTGAGACAATTGCCTGCTGTTATTAAAATATCAGGGTATCCACCAACGTCCAAATACTGTAGTTCAAAGACGATATTGTCCTAATCATTACACGACAGAAGCATGCGGCCACCACTGCAAAGCTTATACTCACAACTGGCAGAAGGTGCGGAGGGAATTTGTATTTTAAGAACAGCTCCAGCATCTCATGTGTGAAATAAACCCATGTTAGTTTCACAGGCGTTTCCCCCTTTCTTTTAAATCACTGATTGCTGCAAAATGAAAATATCTAAAACATCTAATGCTACTAAAATCAAACATGACTCATGCTACTGCTGATTTTGCAACTCACTAACTGCTGCTTGCTTTTAATGTAACATCATCTGCCTTTCTGGTCTGCAGACAGCAGAGGGAGAAAGAGAGACATGAATGGGTTGTGCGAAAGATGACGATTTGCACGAAAGGTGCATTGTCAGGCGATTATGCACTTCCGTGCAATTTATGCTGCGCTTTCGAACCGCTTCATCCAATTCTCTGACACCAGGCAACCGCATGATTTACCCTCACAGAAACCGTTGCACTCATGGAACATTTAATGTAGGGGGGCTCAAATTTCAGCTTCTCTGGTGCAAAGATCAGTGTTCCAGCCACTCGCCCTCTGCAAAAAATTACAAGAAAAAAAAAAACACACTTCTTTATGGGATAAAAGGTAGAGAGAGGAGAAGCAAAGGAGAGAGTCCAAAAGAAAAAAAATTGTCCATCAACTAACAAGGACTGAACTGAAGTTCCACACACAAAGAGGAAATTGCCAATGAGAATGATTATGTTTTAGAAAAATCTTTACGGTCCATTCAGACTCTGTTCTCATGATGCGTTCCACAGCTATCAGTAAACATTTCTACACTGACACTTCAAGCAACACCTTCTCTTTCAGTGTCTTTCCACTGGATTTTATTTCATTTAAGTCTTTTCTCCCAGTAGGGTTTTCCTTTCCTGAACCTCTCGTTTTCTCTGTGTTTTTTTCACCTGCTGGTCATTGGGGCAAATTGTAGTAATCCTCCTAGTTTCAGTCCCAATCATTTAGCTCTGATTCATGACAGTGTCACCAGCAGATGTATTTGTACTTTTGCAGTTTAGATGTGCAAATTTATGTGACTTCTTTCATATCTTCTTTTAAAAAGCCTTGTCATATTTTTTTTAACCCTGCTGTTGTGCTGTGTTAAATTCTATTGGTATCGCAATCTTTCAAAATCGGAAGGCTGCATCTTTAACCTCCCCGCAGAGCAATCATCAGGATTTATTTTTGAACCAACACTAATATTAAAAAAGCACTTTAAACAAAATAGAGATATTACTATACAGTGGAAAGGAAAACATTTCTCCAAATCAGATCTTCTAAAAGGTCAATCAGTCTTATTTATCTCTGGGTTTAAAATATAATGGTGTGCATCAAACTCTCTTAGCCACTCATCTTTCAAAGTTAGAAAGACGAGAGAACTTGCCTTCAAGGTAAGGGGAATGTTTCTGTGTCTAGAAGGTTTGAAACAGTCATAAGAAAACAGCTTCTTGCCTAAATTGAGCTATTTCCATAGGTAGAGCAATAACTGAAAAGCTCAAAGCAGGAACTGCGACAAACAAAGTTATACTCTGATATAAAATCAGTCTCATCACCGTGCCACGACGTGTGCAGGAGCAGGACCAAAATTCAGACAGTCAGAAGTCAGATGACGGTAGTTTCAATGAAACAGTCACAAGAATGACAAAAAGAACAGTTATTAATGCTTCTTACTCATCTTTACTGTGCCAACAACAAGGTGGTTGTGCATAATGTTTCATTTTTTTCCCCACTTTGCCAATATGAATCTGTCTGTCTCAGACACACACTCGCCACACGATGTCTGGAAACGCACGCGCACGCAAGCACGCCCCTGTGTTAACTAACAAAAGCCCAACATGTGGCAGCAGTTAAACGAGCTTTTGCAATCTACTAGACCTATCCTGGAAAAAAATAGCTGGAAACAACACAGAGCTTCTTGTCAAATATGTGATAATCAAAAGAGATGCCCTTTGTCCCATATCCTCTATCATATCATGGAACAAATGTCCACTATTTAGAAGACATCAGCAGAAACACAGACGTCGAAACCTCAAAGCTGTTTCTGCTTATTCATTGTATTTTTTAACAATATCCCGGAGCTATATATTTGGGTCTCATAAAATTCGGAAAGCAGGAGAAAAGCACTTTGCAAACTTATAATTCTCAAAGGACCATCCGTGGAGCTGATTGGATAAGACAGCTGGCGGGATTTGCCCTTATAAATATTCCTTTGGTCGTCAATGTTTTTGCCATTGAATTTGAAATGCGTTTTATGCCCTGTTAGGCCAACTTTAAGGATTTGATGTTGGCACGTCACAAGTTTCTGACTTGAGCCTTTAAATCTCAGGGCTTTCCTGCCCTACAAAAGTGCTGAAGAAAACAAATTCATAGAAACTCTATCTATCTGTCAACCTCAATGACGGTGTATTAATCTTAATGCAAA